TGTGTGTGTGTGTGTGTGTGTGTGTGTGTGTGTGTGTGTGTGTGTGTTCATCAGCAGTGGGAATATTTGTCATTATTTGATTACAAATCAGAACTAATAAAAGTTATTAATCGAGTGTTTTTGTGTGTGCTCACAGGACTCACCGAATCACCATCACCAACTTCTGCCTGGGAAAGCACCTGGTGAGCGAGGACGACCTGCTGAAAGACCAGAGAGGAAGTCCAGCCTACATCAGCCCTGATGTATTAAGTGGTGAGTGAAAAAACAAGCGTGTTGCACGCGTGTTCTTTTTATAGGACAGTTTATGCATCGTACATGGGGCCTTTCAGACCGCATCACCCAGTTTTTGTCACTTTCAAAAACCGACAGTCACACCTGTTTTTGCAGCAACTGATCGTGTGTGTGTCTGTGCGCACACAGGTGTGAAAACCTTCCTCACTTGCCCCTGATTTGCCGCGTCCACTTTAAGGATGTGAAATAGAGTTGTGAAGCGTATTAACTGCAAGTGAAAAACGAGTGTCTAATGTACAATATATATGTATACAAAATGCCAGACCTGGTTCTGGTTAGAAGAGTGACCCTTGTGGATCCGGGTCCAGAAGGGATCCTGGGGTTCTTTTTAACGAGCGTTGTGTAACGTTAAGCAGGCGGTCTTGTGTTTGATTTTCTGATTATTGGCAACAAGACAGGGTTTATGTTGCAATTTCAGATGTAGCTAGAAACAGCTTCTTTGTTTTTGTCTTTGTTTGTGTTATCATGGTGATGTTGCATTTTCTCATGGTATGTGTCTGCAGAGGAAGCTACTTTCCACTTTGTGTGAAACATCTTCTTTGTCTTTAGGGGGGGAAAAAAGCAGAAATCCATTGTTTCGCTTCACAATGCTTATTTGTCACAGTGAATGTGCAGACCTGAGCGCCACGCACCAATCGGGTTGATGCTTAGGCCTCAGGCACTTCCACGGTTGACCGCAATGCCATATCCAGAACGTAGCCCTGCACAAGATCGAGAAGAATGTATTTCAACCAACTCACAAACTACATGAAACCCGGGCTGTATATCAGCATAACGTGACAGGCACACAATTAAACAGAGCTTCAGTGACTCACGCACTGATGACTCACCGGAGGGAAACTACTCCCATCTACCCTCTTCCCCTCCCCTCCCCCTCCGTGTGTGTGTGTGTGTGTGTGTGTGTGTGTGTGTGAGAGAGACAAGCTTTAACATAATTGCCTGCTGCTGTTGCTACCGCCTGCCAGGCGCCAACAACACTGCCTATGGTCATGCACAGCCATGATGCTCCACCTTCAACGGCTCCAGTTTATTCGCCGCTGGTCCAGGGCTGGTTTCAACGTTCAGTGTTGATGATAAAAACAGTTCCTAGATCTCATGTCAAAAAGTCAGTGGTGGGCTGGACATTTCTATGAAATATATATATGGATATGGAGTCGTAGCTTCTGTTTGTTTACTCATGTCGTTAATCATTAGACCCGGTGACATGACAAGAATTTAACTGAAAGGGTTGATCGCCCCTCAGTCAGTCTAAAAAAATGTTGATTTGAATCTTCTTCTTTTTTTTTCTTTTTCTTTTTTTTTGCTGTCACCATATCAAATGCCATCTGTTGATGTCAGACACTGATCCAGATCCCCTGTCCTTCCTGTCTCCAGGTCGGCCGTACCGCGGTAAACCCAGTGACATGTGGGCTCTTGGCGTGGTCCTGTTCACCATGCTGTACGGCCAGTTCCCCTTTTATGACAGCATACCTCAAGAGCTCTTCCGCAAGATCAAGGCGGCCGAGTACTCCATCCCAGAGTGAGTATTTGTGAGAGGTTTTACCAAATAGTTTTGCATACTTCATCAAGATGTTATCTGCAGAACATTTGCTGAGAATTTGCCACATTTTCATGTTCAGTTTGGACCTGAAGAAATGACAGTATATTCTTCCAAATAGTCACATTTATTAATATGTGATTTTCTGTCCTCCTTCACATCCTCACAGGGACGGCCGTGTGTCGGAGAACACGGTGTGCCTGATCCGAAAGCTGCTGGTGTTGGACCCTCAGCAGAGGCTGACTGCAGGAGAGGTGCTGGAGTCTCTCAGTGGCATCATTGCCTCATGGTAACTGCTCCCCCTGCTGGATGTTTGAAAGATTTTGTCAAACGTGTTGATTGTCAAGTCATGATTTATTGTTGAAGAAATGATTGTCATGACTTTGTGTAAAACATCGACTGCCAGCTTGCCATGAGCTTGTGAAGATATCCACTGGCTTTACATTTGTAATTTTATTTTGTCAGCACATATCAGAATGACAAGATCACTGGTGTTAATCATCATCTTTGGTGTGTTTTCCTAATAACAGGCAGTCGGTTTCATCGTTGAGTGGCCCTCTGCAGGTGGTGCCGGATATTGACGATCAGATCAATCACCCAGAACTTCTGCAGGAGGTACATTTTAGGAAAAATATGACATGACAGATCTGAATAATGGAGCCTGTTGGATGCGTCCAGATCAGCTAAAATACAGCTACTTAAGAAATAGCACTACTCTGATGCAATTATGTATTTCTATAGTTTTCATATCTGCATTTCTTCCTCGATAAACTTAGAGAACATGTTTTATTTCAGTCAGCTCAGCTGTTGCAGCACAGTGAACAGACTACATTTTCTTCCCTCAGGCCAAGGTGATAGAAGAGTCTTCACAGTACGAGTTTGAGAACTACATGCGCCAGCAGCTGCTCTTGGCTGAAGAGAAGAACACTATCCACGAGGCCAAAAGCTTTCTCACCAAGCGCCAGTTTGGCAGCATCCCACCTGTAAGGCGTCTGGGCCACGACGCACAGCCTGTCAGCCCGCTGGATGCTGCCATCCTGGCACAACGTTTCCTCCGGAAGTAGTCCCCCAAACCACCCATGGCAGCCCCTCCCACACCCCCCTTGACCTCCCCAGGGAGTACAGAGACCTGTGGAGTCCAGAGAGGACTGAGGAGGATAAGCCCCCCCAAAACTGAACTTGCATACAGGAGGCCCAGCCCGAACCAGGGAACAGGCAGCCCCCATTCGTAGGTGGGCTTTTGTGCAAGCTAGGTGGAGCAGGAGTGCGAGTTGGGCGCCAGAACAAACTGCCAATTTCAAACTTCACTCCTCGAATCTGAAGCCTCCAGCAAAACATGGAATGGCCAGGAGGAAGATCTGAACCAAAGGTTCCTTTGCCCTCAGGTCACCCACAGTCAGATCTCACTGTGCAACCAACCCGACGGCACCGTCCCACGTGTGGCTAACACAAGGCTCCGCCTGCAGTGTTGAAGAGATGTTAAACCCCATATCCCTCCTCCTTTGAGATCTCCCTACTGTAACACTCCCCCCCCCCCCCATCAACTCTGGATCCCCTGAGCAACACAGGGCCAGAATCATGTAGCAACCCCCCCTCTTCCTAGTGGTTAATGGTATTGCCTCAAGTCGGATCGCCTGATCACAGATGTCACTTCTCTATACCTCCATTCCACCCTCCTCCTCCTCCTCTCACTCGTTCCTCTGCCTCTCTATTGTTTACTGTACCGAAAATGATCGAGACTGGTCCCCGTCTGTAACTCTGACTTCAAATCAATCTACCTCTCTGTCTCTCTTGTCTGTTGGTAAACCATGCTCACTGTTCTGAGACAAGGGATTGTAACAATGGAGTCTTGATGCCACCAGTGACATAAAGCATTAATGTTTTCTGTCGGAGTGATAATGCTTTGAAACCTTTTTTCAGTGGTTTCAAAGAAAATCTGAATAAGCTTTTTATCATATTAACCTTAATAAGTAGCATTTCATCCCTACCTTTTTGGATTGAAGATAATGAATATCAAAGAATGTGTCCATGCATCCTTTTGATATTTGGTCTCCTGCTTTTGCTCATCCCTGTGGAAATCTATTTTAGCATCTAGGCAGCTAGTGTGTGGTACCTGGAAGTCACGATGCCAATAACTGAATGGGAAACCCTGTTGGATCCTCCCTGCCAAGGCATATTGATGGTAACGCTTCCTCAGTGCCATTATAGTGGAGATCTAAGCACTGTCATGTTTCTATTGCCAAAAATCATGTCTTAAAGTAACTTAGCCAAGGAAACTGGTACCCACAGCCTCATTCAGAATCAAATGGCTTCCAGGTATTCCAACTTCCCAGTTTCTCTTTATCAAGAAAGATAATGAGAAGTGTTTTTGTTTTTTCTTCAGTATGAATGTGAACTATCACTCTATGCTTTGAGGCTGTGGAGCTGTTCACCTCTCACAGCCACAGACCCTTTTTAAGCTAACCTCCAATCATCGCGTTCTGTTATCTGGCCTGCCTCGGTGGCAGACACTGTGAAAACCAGAGCAGGCTTTGCTGAGACGGGGCTTGACTGAATGTTTTACCGATTGCCATGAATACTCTTTTTAAGATGGAAACCTTTCACATTCTATTGCCATTTCTCAAGCCTTCTCTCCAGCTCAACTTGTACATGCTTGTATTATCTCACCACGTGGGCTCTCTATACAGAGAGACCAGGTGGTGGCCGGTAATTGATACTGTAATATTTCATAGAGAAATGAAAATGCAGACTCTGATTTTAAGTTTAGTTCTTGGGGCTTCTTGGCTATTGATGCATCTTGTCTTTTATCCAAGGGGTTTCTTCAAAGCTACCAACCAGTGACTGTTGGGCATCTGTACATTGCAACTTGCCTTTTGCGTATTGGTACCTGCTTTAGGCTATCTAGACTTCTTCCTATTTATAACTGATTGCATGAACATAGGCTCTGAAATATTTTCAAATGTCTTTACTTATTATTTTTTTCCTTGTGATTTCATGTTGATTTATTTATTCTCTTGTGTAGACCGCCCATCCCCCGAATACTCGGCGCAACTTATGCCAGTGTGACGGGTCCCTAAGCCTCTCTGCTCTCTCAGCTTTAAGCAGTGTTGTTAAGTCAAACAGTGGTTCTCATTTTGATCCTTTTCAGCCACGTTCACGAAAGAGTAGCATCTAATTTTTGTGTTTTTTTGATTCCTCAATCTTTTTTCTTGCCATTTTTAAGTCTGTGGTCAACTTAAGCTACACTAATAACAAGACTGACTTTGCATAGTTATATTTTTTACAGAAAACAAAAATGATACTCGCACATTATCTTGATTTATAGGAGGGTGTTTGTGTGTGGGGGTTTTTTTTTTTTTTTTTTTTTTTTTTGTTTTGTTTTTTCTTCCCTCCATCATTTCCCCCAAACATCCCCACATGAGGCTGCACTCTCTGGTCAGTATGTAAATATGTACCATCATGAATGCGCCAGTCATATTGTATGTAGTTCCACCCAGTGAGACACCAACTCTTGTTTCAACACTTGCCGATTGCCGTGCATTATGGGCCACGTTGGCCATCAACCACCACACCCAGAAGCTAAAATGACATGTAAAGAGAGCTGTCGGCTCTCTCCCACCTCAATGTGAATTCCATGGGTGTACAGCAGTATTGTAGTAGTTTAGGTTGTTCATCAGAAAACACGGGTGTTTCATGAACACCGTAGCCATCGCTGAATGCTGATCTGTCTGTGGAAAGTGTTTTACGCAAATCTTCCATGATGCCCAACTACAGATTAGTAACTAAAGGTTCAATGGACCCTTAATGTAGACGTTATTTTGTCCCCGCCCCTAATCAAAAAAAGTGTTTCACTTTCTAGTTAGTGGATTGTACCACGTTCAATGTTTTTGTTTGACGGAGTTGTATTGGTAGAATGCAACGTGGACTGAAAAGTATGGATATAGTGTGAGGTTCAACTCTGTGTCAAACGCGTGACTGTTGCATGATTTTAAACTCGCAGAGTGTGCCGGAGCAACTGATTGAAAATGTGCAAATAATTTACTCTACAAAGCAATGTAGATGAACTCCTGAATTGAAGCAGTAAAATGTTATTCATTTTCCAAATTTCAGTTTTTATGATGATTTTCACTCTGCTTCTAAAGTCCTATGTCTGCAGTATGTAACTGATGTATTGCTGACTGTTTCAACTGGAAACTTAGGATAGTAGTTGTAAGATAAGAACCGCGGTGTGGTTTAAACCCAATGGGATATGTGTTGTAAGCTGCTTGGTCGGACATGGGCATCTAGATACGGAAAACTGCGTAATTGTACAGATGAAAAACACGTTTGTATAAAAAAAAAAACATATTTTTCTACTTCATCAGAATTCTACATGCATGTCAGCAATAAACTTTGATATGGAAACATTCATCTTTGTGTTGTGACACTTCCTTTTACTTCCAGATGATGGAGCACTTTCTTAAAAAATGAAACCAAAGCCGGTAGTGGGACCAGAATAATTAACGTTTGCATTAGGAAATTATACTGAACGTTATTCTTCGTTGGCTTCCACATATTTCACTTACCATATGTGGAAAATAAAATCTACAGAAAATGTTGCGCAGTGCCAGCCGTCTATATGTGCTTTTACATGATGTTGTCTCAGGCCTCTGAGGGGGAGACTTGTGTGGGGAATGAACGGAATAGAGAATAACCGAGTCTCTGTGCGTATATACCGCCTCGGTTTTGTGGTGAGTCGGGTTTTGGAGCGAAAGTGAGGTAGAGGTGCTCGAACAGGAAACCGGACTCTGACAGCGCTGCGGGACCCTGTGGGCTGCTCTGCCAATTCCCCCACCTCAACTCAGGCCTTTGAATACACACACACACCTACGCACTCTTGAGCAGGTTATTAATTCAATTATAAATCCTGTCATGCATGCCAAAGAATACACATGGATATCTCATCATACGCAGGCCTGTCAGACATATTGGATTAAATCTGTCATAATGGCAAGCGCAAAGGTTTCATGTTAAGCCACTATGCAGCACTTTTTTTATAGCCCACTGATGCACGGCTACTGTGACTCCAAAAAGTTTTTAGAGCGAGAAAAATGTCTCCCACCGAAGGGAATTTAATCTTAAACCTACAAACACTGCGGCATCGAAAGACAAATTAGAAGATGAGACCTTGGATTTACATGTTTTATTCATTTAGTAGGTACTAAAGGCAAAAAATGATGTGCTGACTCACTCAAAAGAATAACGGCGTTCTGAGTAATGTTTCCCACCCTCCTGAGATCCTCAGAACAGGGATTGCCTCAAGTAGGTCTCTCCTCTGGAGCATTACACCCCTCTCCCAACATGTCAAGCAAGGCGAAAAACTCTCAAGGGTCAAAGTTGCACAGATGCTTTGTTGCCTTAAACTACAACCAGCTGGCCCTCAGGAGGTCCATCCTGGATTCATGTGTCTCAAGCGATTGTTCATTAAAGGCTACGTCAGACATTGCGATGCGCTTTCTTAATTACCTTGGAGAGCATTACGTATTCAGTTTCACCAGGAAAGAGCTGGCTTTATCCAGCTGGACATGGATGACAAAGGATAAACAGGAATCCAGATGTGTGTACGTAACCGTATTGTCGGCTTTGTGCGTTTGTGTACTTTACTGGTAGCAGTGTATATAAAATGTTGAAATGTATTAGAAATAATTGATTGCAGTGCACAGCTGCATCTGCTCGGTTAGTAATTATCACTCTGTGTTTATGTCTGTGTGTGAATGTGTCTCCAACTGTGTCCAGCAGGCCGAGGCTTTATGGGCCCCTGTCAAGACATTCCAGCCAACACACAAAACCAAACTTCTTTTGTATTTGAGCAGAACACAAAACACGTGACTATTCACTGCACTGAGAAACGGATGCAAAGTTCTCTCATCTGCCTATGAAGAATAAGAAGACATGAAACTAGCTGATCTACGCCTCAAAGGGTTTAACATCTGCTTTCTTGCTGTTGAGAAGTCGGTGGTGGAAATTAACTAAGTACATTTACTCAATTACTGTACTGCACTTTACTTCAATACTACAATACAACTTGGAGAAAAAATGAATCCATAAAACTAATTTCCAGTACAGTAGATCCTATTTGAGGTGGAAAGAAATGGAATTGCTTCAGTATTCTTTCACTTCAAAGACTCAAAAAGGAAAAGAGAAGATGAGATTAGCAGCATTATGATTTGTACTCGCAGACATGCTAAACTATGTTCATTTTTGTTGGCGAGCTGTCATGGCCACAAGGTCTCGAAACGGAGTACGGTCCCCAGATGTGCAACAGGGAAGGAAAACATCTGCTCAAGGTCTTTCTTTGCTCATTTAAAGACACTGTTTTCAGTCTAGTAGTTACTCATATTTGAGTGTTGTTAAAACAGATGATTAAACAGAAGATTTGAATTAGTGACCACAAATGTATAAATCTTCTGAAGTGTCCAGATATCCTTGTTGTATCCTTGTTTTCATTAACTTTGCAGTTCAGCTGATTACAGTCACATGCTGCCGTGTTCTCTTAAACTTAATACGGTGTGACTTTGAAATCAGCGCTCTTGTTCCTTATACCGTGTGGAGTTCTCTTAACACGATATCTTCATTTAAATCAATAAATTAAACGAGGTAACAATCTAATTCAGTGACAGACAGTGTGACTTCAGATGTGGTTCTACATTTGGTGCCAGCAGATTCAAAGACTTTGTTGTGGCACTTTACACACGGTGTGCCCTACAGCAACGCGACCAGAGAACTGTCCAAGTCTAATACAGATAATTGTTTTATTTTTATGAACTGGTTATTTCTTTATAGCACTTAGCTCTTTTTACATAAAACACTGAAAGATTGTGCCAAATGTTTGAGTGAATATAATTTTTATAATAATAACTTAAACTGCAATCGCAAAGTTTGAATAATTAAATTAGTTTTCTTTCCGAGAGTTAGATAAGAAGATCATTGTTATTTGTGTGTGTACAGAGTACAGAACTGGAATCAGGAGACAATGAGACTGAGTTAGCTTAGCTGCTTCCAGTCTGCTGCGTTCATGCGTTATTCCAGAATGGATTCCCCCGCAATATTGTAATCACATCATCAGTAGCTTAAATTAGCCGGCAGCTGGAGGTGCTGCTAGGTGTCACCTTTGGACAGAGCCAGGCCAGCAGTTTCACCATCCTGTGTCTTTGTAGAAGTTAACCACCTGCTCACGGTAGAGTAGAGAGTATTATCAATCTTCTCATCTAACTCATACTTTCAGACATGAAAGCAAATATGCGTATTTTTCCCAAAATGTCAAACTACCTGAATTGATTTTTTCCAAATTTTTGTGATAAACTGAAGGATGAAGTGTTCCTTTATGTGTGGAGAACATCCTCCTACATCGTAACTTGAATACACTATTTAAAAACCCTCCGACTGATATCAACCTCCCCATCTAACTCTGGGAAAGGAAAGCAAATAAACGTATTTCCCAAGAATCATACTTTTATTACTGTGTTGTTCTTTTCCCTGAGTATAGACTAAACATGGTTTTCCTTTTTTTTTTCATCAACAGTCTGATATATATTGTGGGTATGACTCTTACCAGAAGGTGTTATTAATAAAGCCTCGTGTGGACCCAGGGCACAACCTCTCTTACTCATATTCATCTGAGAGCCATCAGCGAGCAGCAGAAGATTGTTTACAGCTGTTCTGTGTGTCCTTGTGACCTTGTGCTGTTTCTGTGAGAGACGGAAACAACTCTGTTTCTTGTCTCTTTTAGGATGACATCCTGGGACATTCATACATTCTGTAATTTGTCCAGTGTGTTTGCATTTGATGTGATGCAGAAGGGTTGTGATGGTCCGTCCAGCATTTGCATACTTTGCCTACACATGGCTTTATTCGGAGTTGAGAAATAGCTTGCATGAATCTCAAGAGGAAGACGCTATGAAGATCCCGACCAGCTGAGGAAGTTTGCTCACAGACTTTTTGTCTTTTCAGTCTTTTCAAAGTCCTTTTACTATCTCTGAACTATTTTCCTCTTCCCCTACATATGCAGCAAACTTACATCTGACTGAACTCCTCCTTCTCCCTCTATCTTTCTTCACCTCCTCAACTCGTGTGTCAGGAAAAAAAATTGGTAAATCCACAATGGTGCAAGAATGAGTGTGTCATTTTCAAACTGCCCGCTAACTCTGAACATCTGGTCCTACAGGGAGGAGGGCGACCCTGTCAATGGGAGGCCTTGTCTCCCCTGTCGACACCACGAGAACAGCCCGCTACAAGGTGAACAAGGAGGCATGTGTGTGTTTTTAAATGCGTGGCCGACAGTGTTCATATTGGAATGATGTATAACAGGCATCGACTCAGAAGTTCGTGGATGGAGTTACTGTAATTTGAATTTTTCTTCCATCTGCAATAAAAAAAGGCCAAACTTTCTTTGGCATGCAGCATCAATAAAAAGCCGTTGAATTAATTCATCAACAATGCACATCCGGTGCAATAACCAAAAACATGATCAGGACACACAAATGTGACAATTGATCAGCATCTGATAAGCAAGAAAGTTCATGTGTTTAATGTATCCTAAAATTTACTGGGAATGTTGCTCAAAAAGCATGAATCAATAACATGACATGGATATCTGTTCAGGTCATGAGGCGTGATAGGGACTGAACTTTTCCCTTTTCTCCTTTTTCCTAATTTGTTTAGCGGAATGTCACGATTCTCCTTAGTTGATTGGAGGGTTATTCAGATCACCTGTTCCTAATTAAGAATTGAGAGCAGCTTGGTGCATTTTCCCTATCGGCCAATCAGGGTGTGACAACACCCTTTTTTTAGGGCTTAAGAGAGGTGAGGGATTGGACACTCAGGGCTTTCTGATCCTTCTTTGACTCAATGGAGACATAAATTCAGCTGATATTCTCACCCAGAAGTCCTCCATCTTTGACCGATTTGAGACTTCTTTGTTGTCTTAACTTTTCTGATTAAGAGTGATTTGGAGCATTGCGAAACCTAGTTGGAGTAATTATTTCTTCCACTATGTTATCTGCATTAAGGCAGACATCAGTGCCAGAGATTATACTTGCCTCAACAATTGAATTGAAGCCTGTGGTCTTTTTTTAATGGTTTATTTCCATCAAAAAACCCTTGCACACATTTCATTATTATTGAAGAATGTGTTTTTCATTGAGAAGGCACTTGTATTTCTGTATTATGTGGTTGGGAGCCGGTTAGCTGAAATCTAGAGAACCGCCATAGGCTGAACCTTAATGTTTTACTTTGTGTTTTCTTTGAACCTTCCTCTTGATGTAAAAAATAAACTACAACAGTCTCTCCACAACAAGTAAAATGTAATACATGTTTAATTGGTGGAAGTTGTTTAATCGTGGATACCAATTTAAACCTTAATATTCGAAT